GGGGGGGGGGGGGGGGGGCGGGGGACAGGGGTGAGAGAGCACGTGTGGTTAAACCACCACAATGTTGAATGAAGTTCTTGGGGCTGATGAAAGGTCCACATGCACACCCCAGATTTCATTCTCTGCATCTCTACGACCTCTGAAAGAGATTGCATTAGTTTGTCCAGTGATACGCAGACATTTAAAGCCCTTTTTGCTGTTCTGTGGTCATTGGCAAGGTTTGATCTGGTAGGGGGCCACAGCGCCCTGTCTGGCAACCCAGACTGGTGCTTCCCAGACTGTGCAGCTTGATTCCTCTCACAGATTTTCCTCCTGTATAAAATGAAAGGGCAGCTCTACGCAAGTAAATGAGATCAGGCCAGTGCGACACGTGGGTGGGTGAGATCAGACGGGCCAACCTAAAGCACTCCAGACTCCACAGAAAGTCTTCCTTTGACTTTCATGGGCTTCTGGAAACACCTGATTTCCATTTTGGGATAATAACATCTTAAATCTGCGCTCAAAGTTTATGATTTTAAGAAAATAAGACTGGAAAATAGCCTGCATTTAACAGTTGAAGCTCTAGTCAAAATGTCTTTGTTCATATAATTAGCTTGTTAGCATCCGTTAATTATGTTCTTTTTTAGGTCTATCTGGCCAGATTCCTCACTAGAATAAATCAGTTTCCCTCCACTATATGCAAAGAGGTCTTACCAGTTGACAGGAGCCCCTCCTACTACTGTAATTATGGTTTAAATTTCTAAGCTTTTGAAGTGTTTCATACTCTGCAAAAGCAAAGAAAAAATAAGTTTATGCCTCTGATTCACTGCTATCTTGGTCATGCATCTTTGTATTCTTCAAATGAGTATCTGATTCCAAGTTCTTGTCTCAGTTCTTTTTTTTTTCCTTTTTATCTCTGACCTCTTAACACTCCACGGTATTCAGCACAGAATAAGAGGAAAAATAATGTGTCTGAATAACTTAATTTAAGAAAAACTGACAATTAGATAAGTGAATTGTCAACCACATTTGAACCTGACTAGTGCATTAGTTTTTTGGTTGTTTTTCTTCCCTATTAAACAAGAGTTCAGCTGCAAAAATTGGACTGTGAACAAAGAATATTCAATATATTCCAAATTCCAACAATCCAGACACTTTCTTTTATCAAACACCCTCCCAATGCAGTCATCCTCACTATCTGCCACAGTTCAAAAACAAAGGATCTTCTCAATATTTTTGGAAGAAAACCACCATGACTAAGAACCAAAACTGAGATGGGTGTTGCTTCCAATTGCAACATCTGCCCATAGCAAAGAAAAGGTTAAAGAAAAGGACCTGCCTACCTATTGCTCACTCTCAGATCATTCTCTTCGAATTATATGGATAATGCTAGTGGTAAACATAGTACAGGAAACGATGAGAAAGAAAGGGGAACAAATTTGCCTTGTCCAACCTTTGTACAAGCCGGATCTAGAACTTGGCCAAGCTGCCCCATTTAGGTTCCCCAATGCATGTAGTATGTCCTTGTTCCCCCCCCACACACCCTGTATGCTTAGAGCTCTGGTGACACAACACTTCATGAGCTTTCAGGACATCTCGTGCTACCTAGGGCCCCCCTCCTCCTCAGATACACCTCTCTTTCAAGTTTTCAAGTGCTACACTTGTGTGAGATGGGGCAACACAAGAAAATTGATATAACCAGTAGAATATTTGCTCTTAGCTTTTGTTGGTACTCCTGAAGCAAGTGTATGGTCCTTCCGAACGCCGCCTCCTTAAATTTCAGCAACCATGGCTTCAAATTCAATGAGGCACCAGCACTTAAAGCTGGAGTCAACAAAGATTTAAACTTGCACAGTATCCATCCCTAAGAAACTGCAAAGTAACATTTTTAATGGGCCCATGCCCAAAGCGTATTTAGAGAATAACTCTGCAAACCCTGGTGTAGGAGACAGATAGGAGCATCTGGCATTTATTTTGGTGGCAGAGCATCTGTAACTGCAGAGACTTGGTCTGGATCTGGTTTCAGTCACGATGGAAATGTTTTGCACCCAGGGAGACAGCTTTGCCTGCCTGAAGTGGCACTTGGCAAGATTTGATACCAAGCCTGCTGTGTTGATCCATTGTGACATGGCTTCTAGATGCTTTTCATGTGTCTCAGGAGCCTTTCCAAAACCACAGAAACCCCATCCAAGTAACACTGAACTCCAGGAGGGTCACTTAGAAACACAGACATCATTCTTTGCAAAGAACTGGGTGCTGGACCAGATCCGCAGAAGAACTTAAAATGGAGAACCTCATCAGGTGTGATAAATGTTGCATGTCTCAGTGATGGGCACTGTGCAAACGAAAAGCAAAAGGGCTCTTTGGGGCAGGAAGCTGTACTGATGTGCTTTTGGGTGGGCGGGCAGAGTGACTGTCAATGACAAGCCCTTGTGCGGCTCACTCTAAGGAGAGATGAGCGGCTTTCATCTTCTGCATCACCACTACCTGGAGATTTCATCTCCTCTGTAGCGCTTGTCCTAGAACCTCTCCCACCAAAACCCGCGGGCAGGGCAACTCCTAAACCAGAGCCTTGATTTTGTAGATACAGCCTTTCATACGGCGTCGTGCTTCCCCGTGTTCTCCGGCCACGGCAGCGGGTCGTCGTCGCCCCCGTCCCC